TTACTTTATATATTTCATTTTAATTTAATTTTTCTATTTTTGTTTTTATTTAAATATAAAATATAAAAAATCAAAATCGGTTTGGATTCGAACCGAAACTGATCTGATCTGATCCGATCGGTTTATAAAATTTTAAAACTGATTCAATCCGATTTTATTAGTTTAAAAATTTTAAAAACCGAACTAATCTGAACCGAAACCGATTTGCAAATCAATTGGTTTTCGATTTAAAACTTTGATCCCTAGTAATGATTGTCAATGTTAAGTTAATAAAAGTTTGCATGTAATACACTTAACCTTAAAAAAATAATAATATCTTATTTTGTGATTATGTATCACGTGATATATGAATGTTAAAATTATAGGATAAAAATAAATACTTATTTAAAATGTATAAACAAAGCAATAAAAATTCAGTGGCAAACTGTAAAAAATTATGATTTTCACACAATGTACAGCTCTATTTTATTTAATTTTCATATACTAAAATATACTAAAAAATTCTCTAGCAAGTATTATCTCTTCGCAACTTTATTAGGTGATGGTTTTGTTTGGATAATCTTATTAAATTTTCTTTTCAAAACCTGTATAGAATCATTATCATATTCTATTGTCGTGTTATTTTTCACCTCGGTTTTAATAATTATCTATATTATAATTTGCTTAGAACGAATCAATTAAAAGATATTTATAAAATTATAAAATAGAACTTACTATAAATTTCAATAACCTTAATATATCTGATTTCATATCTGAAATCTTATTAGGTTGAGAAGCAATATTTAAACTTCTATATTTGTCATATATACACACTCCATCTTTCCACATCATAAACATTGTGACTTTGAAAAGACAACTCAATATTCCAAAAACAACCTGATCATTATATTTTATATCACCCTTTCCCATAACCTGTAAAATTCGAAAGTTTAAACAATCTCGCATCTCTCTGTACAATTTGAAAGAAGCCATTGCAAATTTTGTTAAATTACATTTGATGGGAGGTCCAGCTTGTTCTCCAACAAAAATTTCTTCGCCCATTTTCTCTATCCACGCTAATAAATCTACAGATTTTCCATCAACTACCCTGTCTATAGTAAAGTTGTACCCATAATTTTTTCTATATTTTGAGGCTTGTACTGAAACTTCCATACTAAAATAAAAAATTCAATAAATCGATAATAATATACAGTGGTAATAAATCAGTCAACCTCTATACTTACGCCCTCCAATCGAGACCTATAAATTCTTGTAATGCCTTGAGAAAAATCGATGCCCAAATTCTGACCAATAATGATGTTCACTACTATTTGGCGCACTGATATCTGGGCTTGACTTTGTAAATGATTCGATCCTACAATATAAGGTGTTAGAAAAAATGTGTAATAAATGACAATAAATCTTAGAAAACACTTACAACGGAAGCATAACTCGATTCAAATATTTTTTTATTTGTATTAGCTCTTTATTATCTTTCTCTTTCACAATTCCCAGCTCTTCCGTAATACGGATCCAATCTGATATACTTTTTATTGACCCACTTTCGGTTGTTTCCTATGAAATAATATAATCAATAATTACTGTAAATGAAAAATACAAATTATAGTATATAATACCTTAAAATATTCTTCGATAACATTGCACCAAACTTCTGGCAATTCAGCTTCCCTTTTTGGTTTTTTTGATCGCATTTTTACATAATCATCTACTGACAAAAATTTTGAAAACTCGCTTTCTCCTCGAATATCCATCACGTCATCATGTGTGCATCTATATATTAAGATATTATTAGTTACAAATTAATGAAATACACCCTAAGCAATTAAGTTACTTACGAAAACGGATCACCTTTTTGCGATTCCTTGTATTTTATAAAATGTGGAATGAAGTCGCCAAAATACTGTTTAATGAAAATAATTGAGTGTTCATTATATGCATTAAAAATTATCAATCTTCAAATGAATACCTTAGATTCATCAAGCTTCGCCAAGCTTTCAGCAGACATTCTTAAGATATTTTCGTTAATTGATATATCTTCATTGTATGTGTTACTGACGATTTGATGAGGAGGAGTTTGGAATCCATCTGTAGTTTCAAAGAACAGTCAAGTTTAGATATTAATATCTAAACCTAAGACAAAGACACGGAGGGCTTCTTACCATTATAATTTTGTATAGTGTTTTTGTTTCCCAATTCATAATAATTAATTTTCGATAATAGCTCTTCCTGAATGGGTGTTGTATTAGACTTATCCACTAACTCTTTAATTATTTAATAAGAAATATTACAGATAATGTTTAAATATATTATGTTAACAATAGCAAGCTTAACATACCATCATCACTTTCTGAACTTAAAGTGTATTCACGAGAAATAGAGTTATTTTCCAAGCGAGCCTGATAATTTCCGGATACACTTCCGTTCATCTCATTTTCACACTTAATTATTTTAAAATTAATATAATAATATAGAATAGGCTAAATTATGATTAAGTATACTTAATTACATGATTTAAATCCGAAACATCAGCAGAGTCTACTTTCTTCCGTGGCCTAAAGTCCCATTTTTTCAGGGGTTCTCCTTCCTAAGAAAAGTCATATTTTTAATTAGTGAAGCGTTTATCGAATGATTGATCATTTTTAAAGACTTGCCTCTTCCTTTCTTAACAGGTTAACGTCGTTGATAATCCCAGAGTCGCCCAATAAAGAATTCCCAGCAAAGTTTATGCTATTAAGGTTAAATGTTCTGTCCGATTTACGTCTATTTTCCCATTGTCTAGCTTCTTTATAATCAGGTCTATCCTTTCAATTAAAAATTCGCGAATTAGATTAATTCTTTTAAACTAAAAACTAAAACATCCCTAGGTCATTTCCCCCACTAAGTCGGCGAGTGGCCTTGAACAACAGATAACCGAGTGGGTCGTATGTTGCCTCAGTGGGACCAGGCTGGGTCGGCGAGTGGCCTTGAACATCAGACAACCGAGTGGGTTACCTGTGCCCCAACGCTGGTTTTGTGGCTCGGCGAGTGGCCTTGAATGACAAGAACCAAATGGGTCCCTGCCACGCCACTATTCTTAAGCTACACTTTTTAAAAAGAATTCTTGCCTTTTTATATTTCTTAAGAAGCAATTTCGCCTTTTCCTTTTTCTTCTCTTGTTCACAACTAACAATAGTTTCAAGGCACTTAAGGTATTGATCTACCTTCCGTTCAAAAGGCTCTATGTCGCATTCGTCTAGAAAATCGGTAATACACCATTCAGAAGCTTTGCGCGTGAAGTATTTGTGCATTTATCTATCTATATTGCGGTGCAAGTTACGCGTCCTAAAAATGTCACACAGATTCTTGCTCTCAAATAAATAAGCGATTAAATCATATGACGACTGGGCCGTTCTTCCCATTAAATTAAATTTCTGTACTATAGTAATTTAATTAAAAAATAAATCAAGAAAAAAAAATTCTTTTTTCACTCATCTCCACTTCGCCAAATACTTTCTTTTTAGGCAGTTTTTCCCTTTCCTCTTTTTTTCTCTTCTTTATGTATTTAATACAGGTTGAGTTTAAGAAGTGTTTATTAGCATACAAAGCTTCTTTAATTGTTTGATTCGTAATAAAAAAACATTTTATTTTGAATAATGTGAACTTATTTTATATATGGCAGAAGTCTGAAATAAGAAAAAAACTTGGGTAATCTTTTAAGAGAGGTATAAAATATTATAAGTATAAATCTTCTCAATTCAGCTTACTTAAATTTTTAGATATTATATTAAAAAAGAAACTTTTTCCACTCCCCCCTTCTACACTTGAAAATTTCCTAAAAAGGAAATTTTTGAGTTATTTATTTTTTTCCCTTTCCCTTCTTCTTTACTTTTCCTCTTCCATATCTCTTTATTTCTTCTCTTCTATTCTTTTCTCTCTCTTCTATATACTTTTTTATATATTTCATCTTTTTCTTTTTTCTTTTTCCTTTTCTTGTCAAAGTTAGGTTTTTCCTTTTTTCTGAAGGTTTTTTTTCTAGGCCTATTTTTTTCTTTTTTGGAATAAATTTCTTTTACGGGGCCTTTTTTTCTTTATAAACTTTGTTTTTTATAACATTATTTTCCTGGCCAATTGATTTTCTTTTTTCAAAAACCATATTCAGAAGTAATAATTTTTCTCAAAATATGAGTTTAAAATTTTTTTCTCTTTTATAGTCTTATAGAAAAAGGATAGATAATTTATCTCCTTCAAAAGATTGACATGGTCATTATTACCAAATCTGGTATCATTTATTTGTTAATGATTAGACTAGATACATTTAAGAAACTGATATATAACTATTATTATCTGAAAGTATTCAAAAAGTTGTGCTTCACTATATTCAAAAAAATATATTAGTCAATGTCAATACAGCTAACAATAAGCTAAATTAGTTTGTAGGTGTCATGCTGGTAATAGGAAAATTTAATAGAATAATACATGAAAATCAAGGATTTTAGTTATCTTTGCAATATGAGCTGGTAATGACAATAAAAGTTTCTTGCTTATCTTTTTGACAATATAAACTTATTATATAAGGTTAAGTATTAATACCTTTAAGAAACTTCAACTCCATTATATGTTTGACATTTTCTTTAACAAATCATCACTTTATGTTCAAACTTCCTTTATACTTTCCAATTTCAGTTTATCTTAAAATCAAAATATATTCTTTAAAGTTACTCTAACAGCAAGATTAATTATTACCCTTCAGTCTATAGTCCTAGTAATGGATTTCAAAATAGAAGGCTATATTAGATAAAAAAGATAAAAAATTGGTATTGCCAAAAGGTTGCCTTGATAATAAAGATAGTTGTTGCTCTTTAGTCTTTAATTCTAGTAATAAGTTCAAATAAAGGATTAATGCTAGGTACAAATAATAAAAGATCAGTTTTATTTTAATATATTTGAATTTAGTATAGCTTGAAACCAACTCTTGTCCACTTGTTGTATATCAAGTTATATTTGAAAAACAAGTGTATCAATTCTAATTATAATTTGAAGATTAACTTGTATACAGTAACTGCAGTACCTTCATATAGTTAGATAATCAAATTTTCTAGTTAACTAGATGTTATTCAAGGTATAATATAAGTTTTGAATATTTTTTTTCTATATTTTTAAGTATTGTAAGCTTTGCATTAAATTCTTTCTAGTAAAAAGATATGTATACTATACCATAAATTATAAATCTTATATTGCAAGTTTAAAATTTATAATAAAAAAAATATGTGGGAATCACCTGTTTCTTTAAAAAAAATTTTTTTTTAAATATTATTATTAAAATTTTTATTTAGATAAATATTATTATATTTTATTATTATTTATTATAATTTAATTAATTTTTTTTTTTGATAAGTAAATATTATTATTATTTTTTTTTTTTTTTTAATCCTGCAATCAAGTTGATATCATTTATTTATTAAATCATAGAGAACTATTACGTGCACGAGAATACATGCAAAGTATAAATTTCCCCGACCCAACTCATTTGTCTTTAGCCAAAGCCTTTAAATATGATTTATGGAGGTAATATATTGTTCTCCTAAAGGATAAAATTAAGATTCCAAACTTCCAATAGAATTAGCACCTGCAGATCATATTCACAGTTATAACCATAAATCCAAATTGTGTCACCCCCTCTTGTAGAAATTACACAAGGAGAAAAAGGAATAAAAAAAATTTTTTTTGACAAAAAGAAAAGAAAAAAAGCTATTATTTATTCTAACTATCATTGAAAAGGTTATCTCAATGAACTTAAAATCCAAGCCTCTCATGGTTTCTTACTTCTTACCATCTGTGGCCAGTCAGACTGTTTAATTTCCAATAGAGTAGTCAATATCCAAGAATGTTTAAGGGCACTTCCAGAAGTGTATTTCTTGAAACTTTATGTTTGAAGACTTTTAATCAGAAAAGATATTGGTTTTCTATTATTGATTTCTTTCCCAAGTCATGTCTTCTGGAATTATAACTTCACTCAACCGGTGGATAGTTTCAAGATCCCTTTCTTCAATCATTTTTGGGATAAATATCAGTACTTCAACTTGTTATCATATTGGGATAAGACCTAAATCTTGTTGCTACTTTCTGTTCTCAAGAAAGAATAGAGAAGAAAAAAAGAAAATAAAAGGATAGGAATAAAAAAGAGGTTGCTTCTCTTCTTCTCACAACTTTAACTTGAAACTATCCAACTCTTTCAGAAACCAATCACATTATCAGTTTGGTGTTGTATGACTGGAAACATATGAGGAGTACGTATCTTGTTTACTTTTCTGTGGCTAATATAATTAACCAATCCGTAACCTTGACTAATTATCTTTTAGGAAATCTGGTGTGACCAAAAAATTCAGGATCAAACTGAGGTAAAGCATATTTGAGAAAAAAGAAGTGGGAAGCCAAAGAGATGATGGAAAGACTGGAGACTTCTTTATTCTTGTTTCTCTAGATTCT